ATTTACAGTCAGTTCCCAATTCACTCTACCAAGCAAAGTTCTGGAGATTAAACCCATAATGCTGAGTGGGGCGGGGGAGGGGCTAGAAATAAATTCTATCCCTGCCTCCCCTCCACCCACACCCCCCCCCCCTGTAAATTGAGTGTCTCCTGACACCATCTTACTGCCCTTCAAAAAACTCTGGAAAAAAATCCCAGGTTTCTAAATCACTTGGTACCCTATGGAAAACATGCTGGCTTGTGATTGTACTTTATGTAAACATTTTAATATAGGATCCCTAAAATCCAGAAGCTCCCCGAAGGGGATTAAAGCTAATCCCCTTTCTCTATTGCTGCAGTAGATTAACTGTGCGCTCTTTGGCTGCTTTGCTCCCCGGAGGCTACAACAAAAAGGTCCTGTGCTCCTCCAACAATCTACGGAATTGGGAGTTGTAATTGGAGATTGGCAGGGGGTTGGGGAAGCATCCTTCTAAGGTTGAATGTTTCGTTATGTGTCTTTCTTAAAACCTTCTTATAAACTCCCAGAAAATCGCAACCCAATAGAAAGAAATTGGAGTGGAATCAAAAGGCAGCGCAGCCCCGTTTTAGAAATGTGTACGTACAATTCGTGTTGTATTTCAGTAAACCAGGGAGTATAGTTTGGTTAACTCCTCTCATGATTTTCTTTATTTTTTCAATTTTCCCAATTTCTTGTTTGGATATGTTAAATTACTTTTTAGGAGAAGGAAGCTCTCCATTTTTAATATTTTTGATGACTGTTTTTCTCCAAATGTCAGACTCCTTAAAACCTAAGGCAGCACGGTCGGTGTTTAGAATGAGCTTCCCTAGGTTGTTTTGATGGTGGTGGTGGTGGTTTGTTTGTCTTTTGACAAGCCCAGACACTTTGTTTCAGATGTGAATACAACGAATGTTTCTGAAAGGGAACAAGGAAACCCGCGCTTGTTGTAGTGCTGTGGTGGCGCAAGGGTTAAGGGAGCGGTTCGAACCCGCGGGCGGGCACGAGGGATACGAGGAGGGCCCCGGGGGCTGGAGGCGCCGGCTTGCGCGGACCCTCCAATAAACACAAAGGAGGGCCTGGGGAATAGAAACCCAAATCCACTTGTAATCGTACAAGAGATTCGGGCGTAATTACTTGAGCAACCTAGATTAAGATTGATGAGCCTTTAAAGTAGCGCTCCAGACCAGTCGCCTCGCCCCTTGGAAAAAAAAAAAAAAAAAAAAAAACCTCCCACAAGCCGCTGAGGACACAACTCCGCTAGCTGCACACGGAGTCCGGGGGCGGTCTTGCTAGTCTGTAAGTGAGTCGGACCGCTGAAAACAAGTGTCCCCGCTTAGTCTATGCGGACCGGACTCCTTAAACCCTACCAAAGCCGATCTAGGCCTCCAGGTCTCCCCTCCGAAATAGCGGGATTCCGCGAGACCGCTGGCTCCACGAGCTTTCCCGGCTCAGGCCGGGGCCTATCTGCACTGAAGACTCCCCCTGGTCTCCTGTCTCCTGCTGTGTGCAGCAGCAAAGGGCGAGCATTAATGACTAGGCTCTGTTGCTTCTTCCTAGAACCTAAAAAACATCAACAAAGCCCATGTTACTTCTGAATTCTTTGTCGTATGTTTAGATCAATATCCAGAAGAGGGATTTAATTCCCCCTCGGGTCAGTATTCTAATTGAGGAAATTCAAGTGAGCACTTAACTCGGGTATGCACACTTTCCAAAAATCTACTGGGTCCAAAGACAGAAATTTCACTTTCTGTCCCCTCTTCCAAGAATGGTTTTGTTACAGCATTTTCATTTTTGGTGTGCTCTGTTGAGAAAATGACGGCTAAGGTTTTTCTTATTTCCTTCATAAGAATCCCAGTAGCTTTGTACTCCCACCAGTGAATGTATCCCACCTTAGGACGCAAAAATTAAAACAATCCTTCCTAGCTCTTGGGATTTGTATATTTAGCCGCTTTCCTCTTTTGCTTCTATATCACCTCTCCTTGGGGTAGAGCCACTGCCAAAAGGATTGACTTATGAGATGGTTGGTCTTTGGGGGCATTACCCACTGCCTAGGGTCTCTTGGAGAGCCAGTAATGTTCCTTGGAGAAGCAGGGCCCCGAAGCATCCTTCCTGCTCTCCATTTGTAAGTCGGATAAAGGCAGTGCCTCACCAACCATGCGAATTTCTAAGCAGAGGATACAAACTTGCATGTTACGAGTCTCTTATTCAGCACCCTAAACTCTTCAGTTTTTATAGAATTACTCTAGTCTCATATAATGCTGAACAGACCTTACCTAACATGAAAAGACCTCGCATAACATAGGCAACATTTTTCCTAGTCCATCTTTAAAAATAAAACCCTGCCATACCCTCTGGAAGGGAGTTTGAGAGCACCAGAGAGACCCAGCCTGACTCACTGCCCCTGTCTTGCAGGCCCTGTGGTTCTCAGCACCCCTGCCCAGCTCATCGCTCCTGTGGTGGTGGCCAAGGGAACTCTGTCCATCACCACAACAGAAATTTACTTCGAGGTAGATGAAGATGATGCTGCCTTCAAGAAGATCGACACAAAAGTGAGTTATAGTGACTGCACAGCATTGGTGGCTTTGATGGCAGGATGTGGTTTTCGGTTTTGCTTGGTTTTTAATGACTGGAGAGATACACATATTCTCAGCTTTCTTATAGAAAATAAAATGAATGAAATAACACATGATTTCTTTCAGAATTGAAAATTGTATTAATGAGCTTAAATCCTAAGCTTAAATAGCAAAGTATGTGCATTTGAGCAGTCTTCCTATGTGCCTTTGTGTGCACTTGCGCAGATTTGGTGTTTAAGCCAGTTGCTCTGGGATCCATGGAGCACAGTGTCTCAGTTTCTGAGAAGACTAGGACAGGTCTTGTGAAATTTTGTGTTAATATCACATTTAATTTCCAAAAGTATATACTGCAATATGAATTATTATTTATTGAAAGGTTATAAGGGAACTGGGATAGGAGCCATTTACATATAATTTCATTTCCATTATTACATCCATTTTTCATCTCCTGAATTAAATGGGTTTTACATATGGATTTAAAAGGAAGGGAAGGGGATTCTTTATAAGCTTTGATTTAAATGTACACACACTGGTACTTACATGCCATTCCAGAAGGTGCACATTTGGAGCATTGGAATGGCATACAGGTTTGCTGAATCTTGTCCTGTGGATTTAGCCTCCTTAACCATCAGAGAAACCCTGTAGCCCAGCACCCTTCTGAGATGCATTTTTCTAGTTTCTTGTTTATGCCACTGTAAGTTTTGTAAATTTTTTCTGAGGGTAAGAGGTTGAGATAATGGGGTATTCTACTGGATAATTTACTGTAGTTTTGAAAAGATCTTTCTTTAAGTGACTTCAAAAGCTGTTCTAAAAATAGGTAGTCAGTCTTGTGCCTTATTAATTATATTAAAGTTATATGCAGAAATGTCACATTATAGAACATTATTTGTAAATGAGCAAAGGAAATTCTAAAGTTTATCACCACCTGAATTAACTAATGCAGAGCCTTAGTCTCAGGCCTCTCAGCACTTGTTGATCAGTGAGAAACCAGCAAAGGACCATCTCACTTCCAGCTTCTAAAGCCGTGTGTGGGGTGTGTAATGAGTGAGTGTGCTGTGTTTAAACAAGTAAGAACTTGTCTTTATGTTTTGCAATTAGTTTCCCCTGTGTGGTATGAATGAATTGTGGTTTTCTGATTAATTTATTCAATACCACTGTGTCAAAATAGGTTGATAAAGTGTATTGGTTAAAAGATATATTCATCTTATTACTTAGATTTCATATCCAAAATTCAAAGTTTGTATTATGACTTTAAGTTAATTTTCTCAGAATTTGCTGCTTTTAAGCTCAGTAGTCTCTATTGTCATGATAGATTTTTGCCCCCTTATATTGTCAAGAAGCTACAGAAATACTAACCAGAAGCAAAGTCTGAAAAGTAGATTATAAATGTGTCAGTTGTAGAAAAGAACCATGTAGTAAATTAGAAACTGAGGAAATGGATATTTTCTATAGCTATTAAAAAAGAACCCCTCTAATGTGTCTTTTTAGTGATTTTTTTAGCCGGTTTGTCAAAATGTTTAAAATACTCCAGTTGATTTTCAAAAGGAAGCATTGCCTCTTAACAACAACAAAAAAAAAATTTAAATGAGACACAATGGAATTGGGTATTTTACTTCATTTATTTTCTTCTAATTAAATAAAATCAGCAACAGAAATTAAAATCTAAATCACAAAAGTAATTATCCAGTGTATTTCAAGTGCATTTTCAAATATATATAATTCAGATATTCAAGCGTTATTATATAAGCTGAATTCAAATTTCTTTGAATATATTTAAATAACATTTCAAGTATACTTACGGAATGTTAGAACAAGCAATATATTTGAAACAAAATGTAAACTTTTTTTTTGTAAGTTCAGACACTTCACAGACAGGTAAAGTACCAAGAGGAAATCTACCTTTAAATGCATCTCTGCTTGTGGAAAGTGTCTGGAAGTTTCCAAATGACAATTTCAGTTCTGTTCACCAAATCACAAAACACCAACATTCACACTTTGAAAGACAACATGAGAGCACAATTTTTGTTACAAATCAAAATATACATTACACGCTCCTTCCGATCCTTCCGATGGCACATCCAGGTCGGGTTTACTGGAAGGCAGATGCGCCTAAGTCTCAGGATTGCTGTAATCCTTTGACCGAGTTGGCCATGGTCTTGTATTCTTGCCCGCTGTTCTCGGGGTTTTGTACTTATCAGGGGAGATGCGAAAAGATGTGTGTGGTGTAGGTTTTCCACTGTGTTTCCCTACTCCATTCCCTCCTCTTTTAGGGTGTGTGAGATGATGCATAAATGTTGTGCTGTTACTCCTTTTAAAGGAAGAGATCTTTTGCACTGTCTCAGGAAATACTAATAGGAATCAACCAGGAAGTTTTCATTTTGTCGGGACTTTGAGAAGAGTGATCTTATCGGCCCTGGATTAGACCATCTTCTAGAGTTTTTCCAAACTTTTGGGGTTGGTCAGGATCTCTCTTGCCAGTCGCCACGTTTGTTTAGCAGCGTTTTCCAGAGCTGAGTGCGGTTTGCCTTGAAACAGATCTAAGTTTGGTAAGAAGTAGTGGGGACACCTCTGGCACTGCAGGCATGAGATGAGCTGCAGCAGAATTCCATTCAGCCGGTCGCCCAAGCAGGATTCATCCCAGTCCGACTCCCGAGGATGTTTCTCACACTCGTAGGACACCAGAGTCTTCATGTGGTAGTTGTTGAGGGGCTGTCCTGGCAACTCCAGGTGGCGGTCGCGTAGGGTTTTCAGGATAGAAAGACATTTTTTCCTGCAACCCCCCATTTGCAGCCTGTTCTCGGCCTCTGCAAACTGCAACACCCAAGCATCGCTCTCCGCCGAGCTCTGCTTGCCGGCCAGGGAGTGGCACTCCTTGGACAACAGATTGAACCCTTCGGCCTTGACCTCTGCCACCCGGTTGGGTCCAGGCCAGGGGATGTGGGGAAGCGGCCAGTGGGCAGCACTCCGCGGCCAGATCCCGGTGCATTTAAAGGCCGGGGTGATCTGCACCACATACCTATCGCGGATTCTCAGTTTCACTTCGCTCGTGTCAGCCACCATCTTTACTACATCCCTGTAGCTACACTTGTCCACCGCCTGAGCCACCAGCGTCTGAAACCTGGAGCGGATTTTGCGTGCGGAGAGGTAGCCAGAGGCAGTGATGAATTCTACCCAGAGGGACATGCTCCTCTTGCGACCATCGCTCAGCTTCAGCACCGCGCAGCCAGGCAGCGAGCCGTCGTCCACGAAGTTAAACACCCCCATCTGGTTCAGATAGAGTACCACCTCGAACTCAGTGGGAGAGATGACCTCCAGGCCCTCATAGCGGTTGTCCATCTCGTTGAGGGAGCTGATGAAGCGCGGTTCCTGCACCTCCACCTCCTTCAGGACGTCAGATACCACTTTGCAGACTTCCCTGATGGTTTTGGCGATGGCAGCTTTCCTGGCCTGGCATTTCTCGTTGTAGTACTTATTCAGGTGGTAGACCAGCTTGGCCTGGGCCGCGATCATGTTGGGGCAGAGATCCGGATTGTACACCGGAGTCTCACAATAAGCTGTGGGATCCAATGCGGCTGCTAGCGCTGGAGCCAACTTCGGAGGTGAAAGGGGGCCAAGCGCAAAAGGCACCAAGCCTCTCTCGGACAGGCTGCAGTGGAGGCCGCCCTGCCCTGCCGGCCTTTTATCCG